GGGGTCTGCTTTCACTCTGTCTGTCAAGACCAACTTGGGCACAATAAGGATACAGGTTTACAGCAGAAAAACCAAAATACTTGACAAAATGGATTCTCCATCCAGAAATCAAACCTGCGTCTTCTGCACGCCCTGCCGAAGAGCCTAAGCATGAGGCCACACACGTTGGTCCCAGATTATAAATGGAATTAATTCTTTCGTCGCCAATTTCCTTAGGAGACACACATCTAGCCCGGCTCACTAACTACAACCATCTGATTTTAATGATTAATGTAGGTTTTTAAACTTCCCCATCGACACAATTTAGATATCGTACTTTTGAAGGCGGATTTCGACCCATCCTGATAGGACCAGCACATGCTGAAAGAGATACAACAGATAAAACTAGATACTCGATAAAAGTTGTCTTTTTTGTAGGGGAATCGAACTTGGGTCTTCTGCACTACACAAACCGTTGAGCATGTCAAATGAAACGAAGTTTGAAGTGGGACCTCAGCTGCCCGAGGCGTAAGCTCTATGTAATACTACAGATAGCGATTTTACACACACGTTTGTATCAAATATATGCCACGTAAAGAAAGGAAAGGCAATGCAAGTAGATTTTAGTAACTGAAAAATCTTCAGATTGTGGTGTCTATCTGACATCATTAATGTCTTGTACGCATTCACGTAATTACACTGATCTAAGGTGCGAATGGCTTTGGTTCGAATCTTCAATGGTACGTGGGTGTTCCTTGTTGTAACCTAAATAATATATTTAACCACATGTTGTTTCTTGAATACATCCCATAGGCCCGGCGTAATGAACCAGTTTGAATTGGGTTGGTTGTTCGAAAAGTTTTAAAGGTGGTGCTTGACTCTGTTTAATCGGGGACAAATGATACTTTGATAAGTTGTTGATTTTTACTCCCCTATCGACACAATTTAGATAATTCTGGAGGCTGGCTTCCGACCCTGCCTGTCAAGACTATCAAGGGATACAACTTCCCAGCAGAAAGACCGAGATACTCGATTTAAAAATTTACAAAACCTATTTTTTCTGAACAGATGTTGGTGCGGAAAGATCAGGACAAGGTAACCTTTTTGAGAGCATCCGAATAAAGGAATTGATGGAGAACCAGAATGGCCGATGTCTGTCGCTGATCTGCCAACAATATCATAAATCTCCGCTTTTCTCCTTAGGATTGTGCAGCGCTTGTTTCCCGCCTTAATGGCTTCACCTTGTCCGCCATCTTGTCAGACCTGCCGGTGGAA